AACGATAGTCCATAAGTAGGGGGTGCTCAGGGTGCTCTTAGCACTCTTTCTTTTTCTTCTCCCTGTGACTTGAGAGGGTCTGGTGAGTGTTGCTCCCTGAGTCAGAGGTCTCACAGGGATTTAGTTACTGGCTTGGAGTGACAACTTGCTAGCCTAGTTGGGTAACATCTGAGTGTGTATCTATTCATTGGGAAACAGACCTGCAGTCATGGATCTCTTTGGTTAGACAGGACTGATTCACGCGCATGACAGTGCAAAGGGAGTTGGGGTGGGAACCTACTTAGGATCTCGGCTGAGTTCCTGTTGCTGTTTGATTATCCTTGATCCTCATTATCTGGACAGGAGTCCTGAAGCTGGCCTTCCCTACAGCGAGATAAGGTAGAAGACCAACATCTGCTGCTCCTTCCCTGTTTGTGTATGTTTGGCTGTTTGAGTGAGTTCATCAGATTCCAGATCTAATTATTCCTTTCTCCCTTTCCTACCCCATATTGAATAAAGTATAGTTTTGTTACAGCCTTGTGTGTGGACTCATTTGAAAAGCTGAGAGACGGGTAAAAGGGGGAACCTAATAGGAGATCAGGTAGATTGCCTTGGAATCTTCATTTACACTTCCAGATATAGTCATGCTGCAAAAGAAAGATCCTGAAGTACAACAATTCTTAAAGGATGGCAAACTCAAGCTATTGATGGTAAAGCAACATAAACTGGGACTGATAATGTCAGAGAAAAACAACGAGGAGGACGTTCAAGCATCTCTTCTAGTCAGACCTGCCATCACTCAAAAAAGCTTGCAGAGACTCACAACAATAGATTGGTGGCCTAACATGCTGTGAGACATGGAACATCACATAAAATACGTGGAGAACAACCTGGATTCAAGAGTGAGAAAAGGACCCTTACTCAACCAAATACCAAAGGACTATATAGGACCCCTTCCACAGTCCAAGAACTGGAATGTTTACTGCATAGCAGTGGGTCTATTCTTTCAGTAAATGGATAGAGACATACCCTATTCAGAGATATCCCACAGCCAATTCGGTTAAGCTACTACTAGAACACATAGTTAGCATTCCTAAAGTTATTGATATGGACCAGGTGAGTTACTTCACAGGGGAGCTTACAAGATAAATGTGACCCTCTGTGTAAAGCAAAAATTCCACATAGCAGGCCATCCCAGACCCCAGGATTAGTGGAATGCTCAAATCAGACTTTGAAGATAGGGGTCAGAAAGGTTGAGTCATCTGGCTGAGATTTGGAAAGCCATCTCCCAAAGATTCTTAAGGCAAGAATGTCCACTGTGGGAACTTCTGGGTTTACACCCCATGGGGTGCTTTCTGAGAGGCCCATGACCACCTCTGAAGCTTGGTGGTTACCAGAATTCCCCCTGAGGAATATAAACCACAAACGGTAAATGATGAATACATCACAAGCATTCTTAAAACCATCACAGAGACCCAAAAGGCTGCAGCTGCATGGATGAAAAGCAACATCAAAACTTGGGACAGCAGACTCAACAACACCACCACCAGAATGGAATGTTGGAGACCAAGTGTTTATAAATCATACTTGGAGAAAGGTCACATTCTGAGTCCCACAACTATTATGCAAAAGGCTGGACCAATTGTATATCAAGTTGAGATAGTAAATAGGAAAAAGGAGTCAAGTGGCTTTATAGTTCACAGAACTAAAGCTGATCTGGTTGTACTTAGTCACAAGCTGAGTATCTACTATTACCTCCCAGGAAGATTTCATTTCCACAATTAAGGAAAATAAATACTGCCAGTTCAAAATCAACCGAAGAGTATTCTATGATTGGGGATTGCTGAAATTTAGTTATGAGATTCTGATGACCTTGAAAATTATCTACGAGAGTTTCAGAGATTAGCAAAACAGGAAGAATTTCTGAATGAGAACTACATAGATGAAGTAGAGAATAGCTCTCACCTAAAATTGGAGGTATGTATGCACACCTAAATTGTATGGTACTCACCCTACTAAGCTCTTCCCAGAGGAAGTGAGAGAAGCTTCCATCCTAAAAGCATCCTAAAATATTTAGAGCAGCAGCTTGTAGCTTGAGGGAAAAATTAAGTTAGTAACCTGAAGCATTAGGAAAAGCTACTGTATTTACTTCTCAGTTAGTGGGATACTGCTACTTGGTAATAAAATAATATAAACAAAACTAGTCTGTGGTGTCATTCAGTGTGCATAACAGTCAAGAGCATGTACCAGCTCAATGCCCTTCAAGGATGCTAACTAAAGGTTGTGAGTGGCACGTGAAAGGCCTGAACCTTTCTCTGAGTGTAAGAAGGATCTTTTCAACTTGAATTGATCAACGTGTGTCACTCTAAAAATCTCAGCTTTGCTATGGTGGTCCCAGGCAAGATAAACCTCCCAATCAATTTAAGTATCAGCTGACAGGAGGTGAAAATACCAAACTGGGCTAGGAGAACTTAGAAAAAGTCTCAGCCAGAATTTTGTCTGATGATGAAAAGTGAGGTGGAAAAAAAAAGTTTCATGAGCAACATAAAAAACCAACAGGATGCAATCCAACAGCTTGAAGACTGGTGGAAGCAAATTAGCCATAACAAAAAAAGGAAGTAATAGAGTGCTTTGAAGAACAGCATATTTTAAAGACTATGAGAACTAGCAAACAAGTGGCTGGCATTAGTCATGTCTTTACAGTGGGCATGTCACCACACGTGAGCATAAAAAACACAGTAATTATTTAAAAGAAAGAAGCAGCAGGAGGGAATAGCTTGAAGGATGCACCAGAGAGATTGTCTGTGTGCATCTGGCTAAAATGCAGCTGTAGTATCTCTATAACTAGTTCTCTTAATAAAGAACCAGTTTAGTTTTAGGAACATGGACCCCGCTTAAGTTGCTATTCACCAGGTGGTAAACAACACAAAAGCGATCACTTTTTAAGAACGTAATACTTGTTTCCCAGAGAATCTTGCATTTTGTTTAAAAGCTTCCACCAGTTCTTTAATGGAGCACTCATCTGCTGCAGAAGTGTGCTTTTGCACAAAAGCATCCGTGCCAGTGTAGATGCTCTCTTGTGTAAGAAAGCTCCGATGGCCATTTTAGCCATCAGGCTTTCTTGTGCAATAATTTAACATTGCCTATGTTCCCCCTGCCTCTTGCGCAAGACTACTGTGCAAGAGGGCTTATCCCTGAGCAGGAGCGTCAGAGTATTTGTGCAAGAAGCACTGATTTTATACATTACAACCTCAGTGTTCTTGTGCAAATACTCATGGCCAGTGTAGACAGGGGGCAAGATTTTGCACAAAATCTACTGCTTTTGTGTGAAATCTTGCCAATGTAGAACCAGCCTAGTGTTAGGCCCTAGGAAAAATAGGCCTAGTGCAGTTATGCTAAAGCAAATGTAACAAAGGTTTCTGGGTGAGTCCCTGGGCAGAACTGGAGATAGGTTCAAGCAGGGACGCATCCTACACGCTTGCTCAAGTTGCAAAATGAGATAAGCAAGAAGCTGCATTTTTGTACCTGCTGTGATGAGGAACAGTTTGTTTTGAGAACTGATAAGGAGCCTCCCTGTTTCTGCTCTCCCCATTTGTTCCAAACTCCCTGTTTCTGTTCTCCTTTGGCCATAACGAACTGTCTCCTTATTGCCCAGTACCTGTCTTTTGGGCTGATAAGAAATTGCTGATGCATTATGAATTGCTTAAGGCCATGATGTATAGTTGGCCAGGTATGCATGGGTATTAGAGGTTTCTAACTAATAAAGGGGGGTTGGTTGCTTGGGCGAATAGTCTATGACGCGACGAAACTGTCTATATAAGCCTACTTGTTAATGAAATCGTGGCTGGTTCTCTTTGGAGACGGGCCGCTCTCTATTGTTGTGTGCACCATTCAATAAAGAGCTTGTGATTGGATCTTGCTGGTGTTGCCTGTCTCTTTGCGGTCAGACAACGAACAGAGGCCGTCCGGGTTCGAGTCCCCGACACTAGGAAGGCCAAAACGTACAGCTTGGTCTAAACCACTTCCAAACGTGGAAAGGTGCCAGTGGTGACATTCCATCCATAGCTCACCAACAGGCAGACAGAAAGCTGTGGCTGTGCATGCTGGGTCCCTTGACCCACCCCAAATTATGCTTGAGCAAACCTGGCGAGCTGGCCACACTTGGGCGCTGTCAGGTGTGGGGCCAAGCACACGTGGCCAGCGTTCTATTTGAACACTCTTAGGGCAGCTGCCTGATAAGGTCAGGCAAAGCCCCCTTAGCCAAATATTTTCCATAGGCGCACGTGGCTGTGTCAGCGCGCGCTCTGTTTCCTGCGCCCCGAGCCAAGGCGCGGGGCAGGATACACACGCCTCTGCTCATGCTGCCACGCGTTTGCCGGGCGGCAGCAGAGGTCCGGCCGAGGGGAGCGTGGCGGCAGCCCCGCCCTGCACGGAACACTGCTGCCTGGCTTCTCCCCCGCTCCCGCGCAGCGCTAGCACCTGCACCACCTCGAGGCAATGAGCCCCCGCCGCGGGGCGGGGCCCGCGGGCCTCC